CAACTGTTTGACAGGCCAACCCAGCCACAAACTTCGACTAGATGACTGCATGATCGCTTCTTCCTAGCGGTGGAAGGAAAGGCACTTGGCCGACGTCATCATGTGCGAAGGCTAAATCCAAAAAGAAGAGGAGTTAACAAATCATATCCAGTGGGATCTCTAATGTGTTAGAATAAAGCTAATGCAATTGAGGTTTCTAACAGTTTGCAATCGAATGACGTTGTCGATGACACTACTTCTAAGATTATCTAGTTTTTATAAGGTGCACTAAAGTCGCCTACTATAAATCTTTTACACATATTACACCAAAACTTAACTTTGCTTATGAGGAAGCTATCTACTACACATTCTGGACTGCGATATACGACGAATAATTCAACATCTTGCCGTCTACATTTCAGCCTGCAGCGAACCAGTTCACATGTCCATGAATCATGTATCACTGTCTCAACTGCTCGTATAGTTAGGGTACTTTTCGTGTACAGGATAACTCCACCTCCCCTACGGTTAAATCTATCAGCTCTACTGGATGAAAGACCAGCCGACTGAATTTCATTATCGAACACTTCTGGCATTAACCATGTTTCTGAGGCAGCAATAACATCTAGTTTTTCTATATCCACCATTATCTTGAGTCCCGCCATTTTGCTTAGTAGGCTGCGAGCATTTGTGTAGCACACCTGAATTTCTGTAGAGAACTTTGCATTACCGCTCAGACTGGTCCGGGGATCGTTTTGCTCCGAATGTTTACAATTTGAAAACTCTTAAGTACAAAATTTCTTTCGCCGATTCGGCGGCGCTCATTTATTTCTGCTTTTGCAGTTCGTCCCTTTATACGGTCAACCAGACTGAGATTCTCATGAACGTAAATTCTGGATCCAACCAGTTTGCGTGAGTTCCCCAGGATCAGGTTTCTTTCTTCAACCACAGCAATGGTGACCTTCAGGAGGAGGTTTTCTGAATACTTTCAGAATCCACATTTTGTCCTATTCTATAGAGCTTACAGATGCCAATTTCTAAGACTGTTTCTGGGAGTAGCTTGCTTATTAAGGACTTATTGTGACTGAGGTCGTATTCAAATCTAGCCCTTGGTTCCTTTTCGGAAGATTCTCTTAACTTATGGCTTATGGAATTTTAATTACTGAAATCATCTCTTCCCTGCAATCCGGTTCCAATTTAGCGCCAAACACAGAGGTCACATTCTGTTTTCTTACTTATCTCTTCTTAAATGTGACTGTGAGCCACTCATTTGCCTTATTTCGTCTCTGAATCACATCCTCTACACCGCTCAGACTTCGATTCCCCATAGTTTGTTTTGCGTTGATATGTGAATCCGGAACTGAAATAATAGATTCACATACCTTGGTACTGTCTACAGGTGGTTTCTTCTTCTTAGAGCGCTTTCTCTTTTTCCTTGTGACAATCCCTACATCCGTATGATTGCTACCTGCTTCCCTGATGGGGTCCACACTTATGGTCTCACTTAAATCCAGAACTGGGCTCATGATAACGTTCTGCGAAGGCAGAATTCTGCTAATCTACTACTGTCGATTTATCTGAAGGCAATTTTCTAGCTATGCTCAGCAGCTCAATCGCCTCTAGAATCAGCATAGACGTTGTAGAACAACATTCTTCGCCCAGCCAACGTGATAATGGCTTGCGGCAACTTTATATGCTGCTGGTGGGAGTCCGCTGCATACATTGTGATACCACTTATTGCAGTTGTCACATGGCGTTCCATCATTGACAGGGAAAAGGCATGCGCGTCTGCCACAACGATATTTTACTTGCGCCATAAATTCGTTTTGTGATCTCATAACGAAAACTGGTAATGTTTCTTTTAAAGCTTGATAAGTGACAGACAGTGAACACAAACAAAACAGAGATTTGTATATAACTGTACCTAACAACTCTTAAAAACCGACTTTAGCAGTTACAAAATACCTTAACACATATGGATATAGGCAATACTCAAAGATATACTCAACGATGATGAAAACAAGACAAAGTGAGGAACAAAAGAATACTGTGAAAAAAATCTTCCAGAACTTTTAACAATTCGAAATAAGCACGTCTTAACCGGCAATCGAGTTTGTGGGTGAAACCACGACTTATGGACCACTTTTGAGCAGCGCTAAAATGACCTTAAAATGTTCATCTACTGGGGTTAAATGAGGGTTACAGATTATCAGGAGGAATTGACATTAGGACTTACGGTTGAACGTTAGGGTTATGAATTAGATTTAATGTTTTCATCACTAAATGACATCAACTATAATGCCAAAATGTGTTTGGTCAAATGACTGAACGAATTTCGCACCAAAATCCAAGATGTGCAATCCTAAATCTGATCGATCCGCCTATAAATTATGGTCTTGCCATTTTATGTTTTTCATTTAGTCCTAATTTGGATTCGTCATTTGTACACACTTCCATCCTAACGTCGTTATCCACATCTAGACCTTGAACTCGGAACTTTTGGTTTCAAACACCGACGCTGTTGTCCATTGTAGAAAACATAAGAGGACGTTTATGTGCCAAAAAGACTGCTCAGATTTTAGTCTCAGATACCAAAACCTCGGAAATTCAAGCTTTGCAGTAGTTATGTAAAAATCTCCTATTTTTCATTCATTTGGAACTTGGATGGATGAAAAAAATCGGAGTAAGCTAGTCAGCGGAATCCTGGTAAAGCATATTCTAGCGGACACTATTGTGATTATACATACGCTTTAAGAATGTAAGTTTATGATTATTAGGAGTATTTGAATTATAGTATGAACTAAGAATCCCCGAAAATGCGTAATCAAATCAAGAAGTACTAGATAAGCACATACGAATGTACTGTATTTGGAATTCAAAATCAAGCACTCAACAAGTACAAAGGAATCATTAGTTCATTCAAACACCACAAGGTTTTGTGAAAATGCTTAAGATAGGGTTCTTTTAGAACTGCTGCTATACTATGATGGATAATACTGTTTTTGTCGGACGTGGATTCTACATATCTGTTACCACTTAAGTCATTATTTGTGTAACGAAGTTGCTTGTAGTTCTTCTGTCTATAGTGCCATATACGGTTATATTACTTACTGGATTTGCAGTGACAGGAGTTATCACCAGACCAAGAAAATTATTGAGATAGTCTGCTACTTGTGAGATCGTCTAGCATTTCTCGGCAAAGAAATCCAACCAGTAAAACTACAGGGTCTATATCTGAACTTGTCGCTTCGCTTTATTTTCTGAGTATTTCTCACGGAGAAATCCAAGCTGTTACTGACCACCCTTACTGGCAAAGGGTTGTAAAAATCTAAGTACATCTAGCTTGATGAACCTGGTAAGGTAATATTAGGGTTTATAAGAAATATATGTTAAACTGGAGGCTCTTTTGATTGACTTGCATGATTTTGACAACCTAAGGTTAAAAAGGAAGTGTTTGTTGCCATAATTATGGATGAGTCTTTGTCAGAAACAATTACAGATAATAAACTGAAACTGGAACTACGTACACCAACCATAAAAATTCCTGCAAATAAAGGGCTGTTCAATGAACACGCGTGGTGTGAAGAAAACCTATGGAGAATGTTAGGGAAATTCATTTTTTCCCTTAAGTTGCTAAATGTGGTAAGTACATGTACATAATTAGAATTAGCTCACGTCGCAATGAAGCGACGCAATATATCCAAAAGTGATTGGTAACAATATACGTTACTGAACATTAGTAAGTAGTATAATGAAAAAGGGATCTGTTTGATCCTTGTATAGGGATGTTTGACAATGCCCACTCATGTTTTTCGGCTTACGTCTAAGCTTTAGATCACTAGCTTGATATTCAATGTTTCGGGTCTGTAAATTTATTTACCGTACGAAATTGAGCGGGTATTATCCACTGCCTTTGTCAATCATAATTTAGATATATTTGCAATTTGATAAATTTGAGAACGGTTTTTATTATCGCTTGCCCAGTAGATCATATATTTGTCATCGACTCATCACAGATGAATTTTAAATCTGTTGGTTGAGACATTATTGATTGTAAGCACGCGAACACTATCTATTCAACAAATTGTAAAAATAGAGATTGGAAAAAAATTCACTTGAGCCTTTTGCTAATCATATCGTTAGACTGAATATTGATAATCAAGCATAAGTAATTGACTGGTTTTTAAATAAACTACAAGATTTCGATCATTGTTCTAGTGAAGTTTGACTACTTCTTAAACCTAACATGAAGAATCACATTGAATGACATAATTATTTCTTTTTATGTTTCAATGCTGTTGTTTCAGCAGATGAGTTAATTACCTAATTCGAATAGATTTAAAGTAAAATCATTAAATAATTTTAATTAGTCATTAGACCCACTAAAATGTGCAGACATCAAAACAAGCCTCTCGAACGCTTACTCTGGATATGCTACTACCCGTTAAAAGAATAAGTTTTACTCATTTTTCATTCATTTATTTTATTTATTGCGGCTTCTTGTTTTCAGATGGTTTCAACAATGAAAGTAAATCAATTATCTGACATATTTATGATTAATATTACCGTTAATCATAAGAAAAAGAATTAATTTTATTAAACAATCGCAAACACGAAAGCAAGTACTCTGTCAAATGGAAGAAAGAAATCGTCTGTATAGATGAAAAAGTTTTCTATATATACTGAAATATATGTGCGGAAGATAACGAAATATATATTTATGTACAGTTATTGAATACACTTGGTATCCTCTTACTATTGTTTTACTACTGTCTCTAAATTTCTTCTCTATTTTCTTCTCGAAGCCAGCTTTCTTGACAAAGTATGAAAAAAACCTTTACTAAGTAATTGATGTATGGTCTCATTGAAGGTTGATATGTTATAATACATTGTTTGCATGGTGCAATAACTCGGTTTATCCGTCTTCTAACTAATATTACAATAGCAACAATAATGTTAAGAATCTTCAAAATTGTATCTACTTCTGTGCATTCTAGATTTATACATAATATATAATTACATTATATTTGATCCAAATAATTATCTAATGATCGGTTTGACTCATAAGTTTCCTCTTGTTGCTGTTGTTTCAATAGGTGCATATTTTTGGTGGGATTTAAACTTTCTCGATTATCATTGTTGGATGATGACGATGATATATTCCAAAGCATTTTATCATCCGTGTATTGTATCGGAAAGTATGATAGTGGTTTATGATTTCTTTCTGACGACCGAATAAAGATATTTGGTTGTTGTTGGAGCTGTTCTGAATGATACGAGTGTCGTTGCCTATAAGGTGATAATATACTGTATGCACTTAGTTTATTGCTTTTGTCATTATTTAAAGTTGTCAGTGGATTGGCATGATGTTCATTTACTACATGAGAATTTTTTTCATTTAAATCTAAAGAATTTAATAATAAACTATTCTGTATGCTCATCAATGGTCCGTTATAATGAGGATGATGACTATATCGTTCATTTTCTTGATAAGTAGGATAATCACATTGTCGATGATTTGACGATATTGATGATGGTGAAAAGGATGGGAATGATGGATGAAGTTCTTGTCGATGAATTTGTTGATAGTTCACAGATGAAGGTAAACATAAATTATCATTATTCAAGTATGTACCTGAATGAATGTTTAGTTGATTGGATTGTAGTGAGAAATGCTTTTGTAACTGATAAGTTAATTCAGCTTGATAATTTTGGCAATTTAACATTGGCTTCTGATGATCAGCATAATTGTCTGACTCTGAATTTAAAAAATTTGTAGTGTAGGCCGATGTTCTTTCAACCACACTTTTGTTGTTATTTGTCATTTCATACTGACTGAATGATTTATCATAGTTATCAGACGTAGGAGAACATGCTATATGAAAGTAAATTAATACATTTGTAATATACTATATACTATATGAGATAACGAAATACATGACAACACAAAACTTAAAAAATCTTGGATACATCAGAATATAAGTATAGTTGTATCTATAAAATATGCGATAGATTTTCAAACTATAACTCGAAAACAAATATGTTATGCTACAATAGAGAGATCTCAAATGTTGGTGAATATAAAAGCAACTTGTAAATAATAAATAATTATGAACTTGTATCGTTAAAAATGACCAGTCATCTAAATCTTTAATCATTATTAGTGAAGATAGCACTGCATTCTCATCGCTCGTAAGGAACACGAAATTTCAATTTGAATCTTCGTTGACTACCTAGTTAGAACTTTTAATCTGAAGAAAATTACGATATTTTTCAACTCGGCTATATGAATGATAATTTATTCAATAATAAATAACATGGACAAAAGTCATAAATTCATAATACTGTATAGAAGTAATATTTACAAATCCTTCGTGTGTGGAACTATTCAAATCTTTTCTGTGGAATAGTTTTCTTTGTTACTTAAATAATTCTTAGATTTACTTTGTTTATAACGTCGTTAAGCCGTTCGTTATGATATGAACCCGATCATTAATATAATCCATTATATCATTGAATGATATAGACTCAAATATCAGGTAAAATTTGAGTAGGATAACAAAATCTATCAGATAGGGAGCTTTAATCTACAAAAATAAGTTTATTAATCAGTCCCATAAAGTAGATTCGACAGCCAAACTTTGATGTATTTAAATAAATGTTGTGGATTTTTATCAGGTTTATCTTCTTGTTTTTAAGTGTCCAAATCATCATGGTGATGAAACCGATTTCTTTATTTGAGGAAACTTATGCATTATGCATATTTAAGGAATTTATTAACTAAGTGGATTATGCTTTTATTTGCACGTGACGTGTTTATTATGTTAGACAACTTGAGATTTTTATCTATTGTCTCTTGTATTCGATTACTTGGAGCAGACTATAAAAAAAGTGTCGGTTTTAGCGGAATTCTTCAGTGAGGCGTCCTATAAGGTCAGTAGTATCCTACATTCACTTTATATGAGGCAAACTAGTTTTGTTATTCAGATGGAGACGAAGATTTGTAGCTCAAGTGAATGATTTTGATGGAATTTCGTTTTCCGAGCTGGATGGTTCGTCGTGGAGCTTCTATTGTTCTTCTGAATAATATCATCGACACAAAATTCGGGTTGTTCAGAAGAGCAGTGAAAGCTCCACGACAAAACTATCCAGCTCAGAGAACGAAGCTCCACTAAAATAATTTGTTCCTAATATTATTATCTCTTTGAATAAAGTTTATCTAATCGTTGTGTGAATAATTCACTTTATCCATCAATACATGAAAACACTAAGTTAAAAGAACGTGTCATTTGAAAGGAAAACAAATCATCGAAAATTACAAATTTGACCATCCATTTACAAATATCATGTCTGATTTACAAAATAAAACTATATTTGTCAGTCATCATACATCTTTAATGGTTTACCTGAATCTTCGAAATTTTTATTTCGCAACATCGGCAATTGTTCTGGAAGAAATCGTGAAAATGATCCAGGCATTGGTAATAAGTGTGAATTAGTTGAGTTTGAATGGAATAGACCTGGATGAAAAACCGACATTTTATTTGACTGACATAATTCAGTTGTTGAACAAGGTCTCCAATAAAAAGGGTTTGTTAATGTGGGCACTACAGGTGTTGAAGAGATTGATGATGCAGTTACAGATACTACTGATGCTGCAGCAGCTGCGGCAGCTGCTGCGACAGCGACTGTCAAGCTATAATCTTTCCTTTTCTTCGACTTTCTTTTCCTTGTCTGGATTGCATCTTTTCGCATTGATGTTGGACGCGTTCTCTAAAAAATAGTGAAGTAGATAACTGTTTTCATTTCTAGCAACAATCACAATATTGATACTTAACCAGATGATTGAAACTAAGTATAAATCCAAACTTCATTTGATATCACTTTGTCACAAACTAAAATTGGATTTATAATATTCTTGAAATCGAAGTATCCAGTAGGATGGAAAAGGTAAGTATTAGCTCAGAAAATTTATCGGAACAAGCATTTGATTATAATCAGAATATACTTGAATATCTATCAAATATTTTTATGACAAATATATTTTTGTGATATCTCAATGAGTAAATAGTACTATTTAAACTTGTGTTAATTTAATATCGGTTATTTACCTACTCTGAAGAAGTGACTTACAATAAGTCACGAAACATCAGAAATACAATTCTATACTCAAATGGATATCATAAAAATATATTTATCATTAACTTTCTACCCAGTGCTCAATTTATTTGAAACTATCAAGTTCAACTTTAGCATTGATACCTAAAAAAATTATATTTCGTATGGTTATCAGTAATGGGATACTGAGTGCATATTTTGTCTTACATAAGAATACTAGCAACTAGTTTTACTGTTGGGCGCTAACATCAAAGCTGAACAATAACAACATAGCAACAATGCGAGGCTTTCACAAACATACAAGGAAGCGAACAAAGAATACATACATATACAAAAATGTTTACTGAAAATTTTATCAAAACCTTTCATTTATTTATTTCGAGGTCTATCCGTTTACAAAATTAAGAAGGTAAAAGGTCATGATAAATGAAATCAAACCACTATTCATTTGTTTTTATTCCTTTTGTTTGTCACTTCATTATTACGTAATTCGGTTTACACATATTAACAACAAAGGTAATGAAATTGATAGTTTTTATATTTTTTTAATTCATCACTTTATTAGTTGTCAAAGTGATACGTAACAAGTGACTGTCAGTTTCCCTACTGGGCACATTTTTTATCAAAATATAAATGAGATAATTTGTCTGTGTATGTGTATATCAAAAACACTAGGTAGTTGTAATTAATTGACCTCTGAGACATTGTGATCTATAGTAAGTTTACTTAGTAAGCGATATTTAAAAGTGTGAAGCTTTGAAATTGGAAGATAATTTTCATAGTGGTATCAACCAGATGACCATTGAGAAACATGAAGCTGAACAACCTTTTTTTACAGTTCGAGTTTTTAAAAAGTCCAAACATATTAACTGTTATGATCTACAAGTCCGATTCAGTGTGAATCGCAAGACATCATAATTTTCAACTCACCCTGCTAAGCAAGAGTAAGACTCAGAACGTGTATGAAATTTTCTCGCTAAAACAGGATAGCAATTTATACAACTCGTGGGATTATTATTGTGTATCTTCACTGACCTGGATAGGGATATATGGACTATTACCTTGACCGAATGATGCAATCAAAAAAGTAAATTCTACACTTGTATCTTTCAATTAAGTTATGACCTCGATATAGCGTACGATCTGTCTAGAATTCACAGACTTATAACGCTCTACCTTTAACTGAATCTAGGACCTACGAATTTCCCGAACAACGCAATATATTTGCATCTTCGAGTCACAAATGAATGATCCACGTTTTCGACTTTAGTCAGTTTTGAGTATAAAGCGATTCTTATTCACTATCATCCATAAATTTTCGTCTCAATTTATCCTTGGTTCACTTCACGAGTGACAGCTTACAACCATAACTAGTTTCGGAACTGAAGCGCGAATAGGTCATTCGAGAAGATTAATACAACTATTTAGTTTTTGTCCATGGTGAACTATATCGCGCCAATTTGAGGTTACCCAGCAATATACTTCCTAAACCTTAAACACATTCAAACCTCGTAGGCCAAGGTCAAAATTTATTTTGTAGCTGACTCCCTATATCTTAGAAGATAACAGATAGGAGGGTATTAAATATTATTCGAATTTAGTTCATCCTCTTGTTCTAACTGAATTCCTCATCGAAAGAGAAAAGTTAGCATAAGATTCGAATAAATACCCATTAACTAAGCAATATGAATTTGTAAAATATCCTATCGGGATAAATTTACCTTCGTTATGTTTATAGTAGATCAGTTCCAATTTATAAAAGAAATTTTAAAAATTAAACTTATATAATCTCTCTCATAGGACACTTACACCATGCAATTTCTGATATAGCCCACAAGCGTTGCACACAGGTTCTCCATCAAGATTACGCCTCCATAATGTGGTCTTGGTAGTTTCACAATTCGAACAAATCAATCCAATTCTTCTGTTAGTTTGCTGTAAGTGTAATGAGTTAAAGTACTTAATAAAAGCGTATTATTAGAATATGATGCTATGACAAAAATATTATACATATTTACTATTTTCCTACAAAGATAACTGATTGAACGATGTTTATTATCTGTTCCAAACTGTATTATTTGGATGTCATTATAGTTTATCAATAAATGTTACTCTTACTGCTTAAAAATGTCATTTCAGAGCAGTAATGGAATATTTAGAATGCGTTGAATATATCCAATTTACATTACTATCAACGTACCGAAATCTCCTATATTTAAATTTCATTGCCATCACGGATATTATTTCAAACCTTTTAGGATTTTGTCTGTTAATTTCATCTCTTTGTGATTATGTGGTCTGCTAACCTAAGCTAACATATAATTTTGCCATATTATATTTTGATAAAGATCAAACACTAAAATCTTAAGAGTAGTATCTTATTCATGTGTTTTATTGTTATAATGAACCCATTAAATTATTTCAATATATATAAAATATTTATGGAATCTAAATCATTCACATTTCAGATTTGCTCCAGATGTCTTTAAAGCGGTAATTGAGGTTTTTAGATGAGATTCTTCCATGATCAGTTATATCCATTATATTTTAAACATATAACAGTTAATGGTTTATTATAATTAGACTGGTTCTAGTCCGTAAAATCCTCTTTGTAAATATTTTGAATCTAACTAATTTTCAGGAATATAAATATTCTCATTAAGTGTAAAACTATCAAGTAGGCAATATGAACCCAACTCTCCTCCTTTACCCGGGCTTAGGATCGTTAGTAACCCTAGAAGAGCTACAGTCAGGCAATCCTTTCCAGTTGATTATATCAATTGGATACAACTTGAAAGAATTACTCAATATAGAATTTGATGGAGAATACTAGTTGGCGGCCTATGCTACTTACTCTATAAGGGATAACAGGAGTAAGTAAGTAGGTTTAATTATGAAACGTATCATACCACAATTTACAGATCATTTTTACATATTTACAAGAGGAAAGTAGATCCTTTAAAAGTTTATTCATTATCAGTACCTTCTTACACTTACTTGTGAAAACAACTCATTACAAACTGAGAATTTACATTTGATGAAATAAATTTAACTATCAATAGCATTTCCTAGTCCCTGTTAATTGTTCAATAAGAGGGTACAATGAAAACCATCCTTCACATACACAATAATCGTTTAATATATCACAATCCGCCTACGTTTTCTAATAAATTGTGATTATTTTGTACTAAGTTAAAAGACAATTATAGAGAGAGGGAAAGTGTGTGCGTGCGTGTGTGTGTGTGTGTGAGAGAGAGAGTTATAAAAATGAAAATCCCTTTGAACTCCCAATTAATGAAAAGTGTCTAAAGGACATTTATAAAAAATAATAAAAAACAAGATAAATATACATACATATACATACAGTTAAAATATAAACAAACAAAAGAGCAACACATTGATTAGAACTATATACTACACATAAAAATGTCTTACAGATCTGAAATTTCATTTATAAACTATAAAAATTGGAAATCTCCTTAAAAATCCATATTAATAAGGATTTAAGGAACAAGTAAATATAAACCAACTAAACTTAGTTTGGAAAACAATGTTGTTTCTTTTTTTTGTTTTGTTCAGTTTTACAGACAGCGGTAGGCGACAATGAGTCAAGTAAGGAAGAAATAAAAGAAGAAAGCAACTGTATTAATAATAATTTTCATAGTTAACCATAAACTAAGAAGCTCCAAAGATACAACCTATTGTATGGGCATTTAGTAATTTTGTATATATTTAAGCTTTCAATTAATTTGTGTACTAAAGTGAAGAAAGTATGATAAAATTTATATACATTACCTACTTTCCAACTAGATTTAACTATATATATATACAAATGTAGAAAGGAAATAACTTAGTGTTGAATGTAGAATAATATAACTATCTTGTTTAGTCATTAAAATATATGGGAAGAATTTAAAATATACAAATATGGAAATGCACAAAAATTTGAAAATACCATTAACTAGACTTTCTGTTGTTGTTTTTTTAATTTTTATTAAAGATTTCTATAACGCTACAGTAAAACAGAGAGAAAAATGACGATAACATAGTTTATAATATTCTTATGGTCTATGTAATAATAATAATAATAATAATAATAATAATAATAATAATAATAATAATACTAGACACACTCGCATTCATACATGTCTACTGGGGTATAATAGTCTATAGTCACATATACATGTAAATATATAAGCATATATAGCAAATTATTAAATGAGTTTGTATTTTTCTATTTAAAACTAAAGAAGCACCATTTTCCCACACAGCTATTCATTTACACTCATAAACACACAAACAGATATGTGTACACACACTCACACACCTCCCATAATGTCTTCATCAATTTGGTTTTTTTTTCTTCTTATATTCAATGAAAAAGAGACAAAGTGGACAAATGTACACTAAATTTGAACTAATTGTTTACTTTAGTGAAAAATTTAAAACTAAATAAATTTATTTTTTTTTTTTGGTAGAAGAGGGTGTGAAGAACATCATCAACACTATGATAAATAACAAAACAAAAATATTGGGTTTTATTCGTTTTCTTGAATAAACAGAACATTAACTAACTTGATGATAATGTGCATTGTGTTTCAATATATATTTATATATTTATTTTAATAAACTATATATGTCTAATAACTTTTCGTTTATCTATGTCGAAATTTCTAAAGGAGAGATTTCTACTCATTTAATTCTTGAAGACGATCGTCATCATCATCATCATGATAGTAGCCAAAATAAACATTTGAAGTTCTTGATAGCTAGGGAGAAGTTAGATCTTATTATGGAATATTTCTAGATTGTCTGTTGCTATGTAGCAATTGAAATGTTGAAAATACTTCACATGAATTCTGATCGAATGTGTTTTAAGGAAAACATTAAATTATGAAACAAATATTGGTTTTAAAATGTATTGAAATAAAATGAAAGAGTTTTTTATAACATTTCCTAGTCATTTAAAACGATTTCGCTTATTTGTAATCTATAATACAGTAGGATACATAGTTGATAAATATTTGAATATTCTTAGGAGACAATGTCAGTAATAATAGTATTAATATTAATAGTAATAATGGCAATGATAATTATAATTTAGTCCTCAAACTCATGCAAATGTAACTCTGGAGTTGAGCTAGGATTTATTTACTGTGATTTGTGGTATACCTTTAATGTGGCGGCTAGTAGTACTATTCACTTGCCTAAATCTAAGTAGGTAGAGTGACATAATTATAGAAAATTGAATGCCTGAGCCATAAATCTAATTCTTTACACAATAGGGTTAACCAAAATCTGAGTTAAAATTTCAATCGGACTACTGAACCCAAAGTTGCTCTCATATTGTTCTAATAGATAAAACATAACTAGTAACTAGTAGGCAGCCAAATGAAGGACAGTAATCCAGTTATGTTTCATAATGTGAGTCAGTTCTTCTGTTCTAAAGTTGAATTAAAATGATTTTAACAAAATAGATATCAATTCCATGGTATACGTCTTACATAATGTTAGAACGGTAACTGGGAGATTAGTGATTTCTAATTCAATATAGCCTTATTTTCTTTAAAATATATAAATTATCATAATTCACTGTGTCGAAAAACGACCTGCTAATTAAAAGTTATCGATTCGTAAGTTCCATGATTTTCTGTCCATTATAAGGTCTGTATAACATTATCTAATTATACATAATCATATTGAAGAAAATTGTTTACCTTACGATTAATCATTCTATATTTTTAAACCTAATGTGCCAAAAGTTTTAACGTTTTCACCTTACTCTTAAGTTAATGTATTTACATTATTAAAAATTCATACACTGAGATAGGGAAACATTCTGGTCTTTGAAGTTTTTAATAATTATTTAAGTAGTATCAAGATATATAGGTGCTTCTTTTCAGTATGAGCTGATATCGTTTTGGATAGAAAACATTTGTTGATTTAGTATTACAGCTACCCTAAAGATAAGATTTTAGACGTAGTTGAGTTTGATATTGTCAATTATCCACAGTATATTCTTTGTAGTTAATATTAGAGTTCAATCAACATTTGTTTCATCAAGGTATGTTGAAGACTGAATTAATCAAAAGTTATCCAGTCTATTCATTTAATTTCGTGCTGAAATAATTTAATCAGTACAGTCAAAAATTAGCACTATTATAACAGATGTGAATTTATATGAATTGGGCTGTTTTCTGTCGACCAACTGAATTGATGAGATTAATGTGGCAACTACTGAGAAATCCATATTCATCAATCCAATTCACCAATGAATAATCATGAGAAGACAGAATGACCGGTTCTCAAAATGTGAATCATTTTACGTCGCAGTACTGTATACACTAATATAGTGAATATTTACACAAAGTAAACTTGGTTAGAATTAGTTTGATATATCAATGATTATCAGATACGGGTTTATCAACCTTGGAACTAAGGTGTAATTATCAGGCAAAAGAAATGAAGTATATATATTAGATAAGTCAATTTACAAACTAAATCACACATAGGAACTTTTAGGGTTTAATAACGGCTGGTAAATATTCAGTACATTATAGTCACAACTCTATAACAGTGAGTCTTAGTTGGAATATAAAAGCCTAATGGAAACAAGTAAAATTAACTGATCTATTCTAGATACATCTAAAGCATGATGTAAATTTCCATAATAATCATCGATAGTAATTAACTAAGGTTAACTTCATTCGTTAAAGTGGATCATATCATTGATGATGATGATAAAAATGATGTACATAGTATATTATTTTGACAAGAAAACATTCTTGAAATCTTCATGTATAATCCTAATTTGAAACAGAAAACAGTCTAAATTAACGAATTCTTTATTGTCCGTAACTTATAATATCCAATCTGCCTAACAGACGCAATCATAACTTAAGACCTTCCGGTTTCAAAGGATTTCTAAAATTCCATCAAGTTAAACAATGCAGTGAAAGTATTTACCATGGAAATAAATTAACTTACTGACTTCCTGTTCGTAACAGTTTTTTCAATACCACTACGGAAGGCACGTCTACATGACAATGGTGAATAAGAAAAGGGCGTATTGGATAAAAATGCATGATCATTGATGACGTTCTTTGAAGATTCACTAACTGGTTCATATGAATTTAATTTATTTCCATAAGTATCATTATTCACTCCATAATTAATTGAATTATTGGTTTTTACATCACAGCAACTGGTTCTGTTTGATGTTGCATATGGTTTTATTTCATCTTCCATGGATAACTTAGATATCTGATTATTTTCTGTGCAGTTTATAGCCGTCGAAACAGATGGCCAATTAGTTAGAAATATTTTAGCAGGATCTGTAACTCTATCCTCTTCTTCGTCATCATCTTCATCTTCATCATCATCGTCATCTTCATTGTCATCATCACCATCTTCGTACTCTTCCGTATTTTTTGTTGTTTCTTGTCCTTCAAATTTGAGTGGTTGTTGTTGGTCTTGCTGATTACATCGACTACAAAAGTAATGACCTGTACCATCTGGTTGCCCATTTGAATAGATTTGTTCACCACATTTTACACATTCTTGATTGGTCTTAGGAAAAATTTGATTCATTGATAACTTTGAATCTATTGAATCAAATATAAAGAAATGGATAATTTTAACTATATGAATTACTGTTGTGGGAAATGATATTTATCAATTAGTGACATAATATGTTTTATGCAGCCATCTGAGGCTTGAATCTTGAATAAATAATTTGGTCTGAGGGATTGAAACTCAATATGATATGAAATAATGTTAGGTTATATGCGTGATTTCCACTAAAGAAAAGTTTCGGATTCTATTGATAGTAACAATTATTCAGTTTCAAATTATTCATTATATTACGATTACTACCTTGTTCTCTGTCAGCCTCTAATTTAAAGACGGATACCTGTTTATATTGTCAATAAACTTAAATAAATAAATTTGAGTTCTTCACTTTGTGGAAGTTTTCATCAGTGATCAACGTTAGCTAGAAAATTGTTGAGAAATAACCAAAGATAAACAGTTTTTCCTCTTAATTCAGCTTATTCTAAATGTACATACCAATGAATTGATTCACAGAAGAGTGAATTCAAAACTTTTAGGTCTTATTTCAAACATAATCTCCTTGAGACACTAAATTACATTTCAGTGGCACACATATCCCACAAATCTGTCAAATAAAGTAATCTTTATTCTTTGTCCTCAATTTATTTTTCTACAATTATGTACGCAAAAACCATATGATGCTTCTTGTAGGTCAACCATAGATTTCTAACCACAAAACGATATGAATAATAATGAAGCATAAAATAAAAGATCAGCCTAATTACATTCTATCACCAACGGGACTTTGTTTATGTTGTGATTATGCCAAGATTATGGTTGGGTTATTAATTTCTATACACCTCAGTTACTTCGAGGGTAGTAGTATTAGTATTAGTTGTTGTTGATTACCCCATGGTTGATTTTCAACTACCATTAAATTTACTTAATATAAAATAATTAACAGTGTAATATTTCCTGTTTGTAAGCAAATCTTCAAAGCAAGTCCTTTGAAATTTCTCGTGAATATTAACGCTCAAATGGTCATTAATAATATTATCATAATATAATACGACCAAGTACTGGAACGTCACATTGTGAAGAGAACTAAGATCATAAGATATTTTTTGGTTATATTTGTCAATGTACACCCCCAAATCCAATGGAGGCGTCCAAAAATGATCATAGTTCTATTTGGCCTAGTAGGTGATGCTAAATAAGTTGATTGGAGAATATCGTACACATCTAACTGGATTGTCAATTTGGAAATATCCCATATTATTGGTATATTTATGGTACATTGTTATCAGAAGAATAATTAAGATATAAAACATATTTATTTCTAAAGATGATCACTATAAATATAAACATAAGCCCTTCCGGTATGTACTCAATATACTACTTATATCTATATTCATTCACTGTTGAATAAATTCTACTCACTTATTAGTAAAGCTTAAATTATTATATACCTGTTTTGTGTTTCTTGTAAGACCTTATATTCTATTTCATTTATTATTACTCTTCCACCGATTCCTATCCATATCTCTTTTTATCTTCATGAGTGATTGTGATCAATAGACTGAACAATTACTCTCTATTGTGTTTACGATTTTAAGAATGATCAAATGGTTATATAATTTGATCATAGTCATCTGATCTTGATTGCAAAGAAAGCTGTTACTCTTTCTCTTGAGTAGTACTAGTAGTAGTTAAACATTTGTTTCCAAATAAACCTAAAAGTAATGAATTTTATTATACATCTAATAATAGACACATAACTAGCTTATTTAACTATAAGTTAAGATATTTTCTTTTACACGGTCAACAAAAGTGAACACATCATTTTCGATTTCTATGACGAACAGTTTATTATTATTACTATTAGTTATTTTTCATGTTTGATAATTACGCACAAGAAAATAATGTTCTTGATCTAAATTTCAAAAGTCTAGATGAACTGGATCACATTTTCTCACATATGACCCTGAAACAATTTCACTTTCACATATACGTAAATAATAAAAATAAAAAAAAACGAAGGAACTTATGAGGCTAATGTTGACCGCATTAAAAATCGAACCAGTGAAAGAAAAAAAAAAGAAGAGAAAATTAGTTAAATGACGTTTACAAATTATATAGTGTAAATATAAATAATTTACGTATTCGTGGTAAAATATCTGTGAACTTTATATTATTTTCAAGAAATATGGTATGATTTCTATGGTCAACGTCTGAATTCCTAAAGTAAACTTCTTTGTATACTGGACATTTTTTAAAGTCATTTTAATTTAATGAAATTATTAGTTAGTATTTATTGTGAATATTGAATAAGGAATATAGATTAATGTAATGAGAAACTCAATGTTAGTATAGAAATGGAAGATATTCAATAACAGAAGTCTACAAAGATCATCATCAAATAATTACGTAGTGTTACACTTATTCTATTATTTCATCTATTCAATGTATTGCATGTACAGTGTATAAGCTCAGGATAATAGGACAAACTATTAAGAATACCATTAATAAATATTCTGTGAAGTACTGATACTTTTTGTGTAGTCTATTAAATATTCCCTTTCCTTTACTTGCTCCTCTTTTTCAGACCCCTTGAGATATGGAACGGGTGACTTCATCCTGCACCATCCTTAAAGCCTCATATATTCCAAAGCGATATAAGGTTGCAATTTCTAGAAGCTCCCATCTTCAATGGATCTATGTTTGACCATCAATTGCACATCGCAACGCCACTTTCATGAAGCGCGCCAGCTGTTATACTGACTACAACCATTTACATTTTATATCTTATAAATTATCAACCCTGCTGAGTAATTTACTACAGTGGATATTGTATCATTTGTAACAATTTGATCTTGCCTGTAAACTGGCATGCCTCATGTAACAAACTGTTATTTGAGAATAAATTATTATAATTGATAAGTACATGGAATGATTTTAGGCTAATTTCATAAAATAATTTTTAAAAAAAATGATAATAAACACTACGGATAGTGATTAATATAAAATACTTAAAGGTATCATAAGTGTTACTCCATGAAAATAATATTTAAGAGATAAGTGTATCTTAGAAAATATTTCGAACATTCTTCAAGGAACATAAACTGAAGACATGAACTAAATTCAATATGGAACTTCCAGAAATTGGAATCAAATGAATAGTAGATCTTAGATATACAAAACTATCCTTTTCATATTGGTCATTTATTTAAGACTACTATAGATAGACTCATTCATTTTGACTTACTAGACAAACCTTAAACAAACGCGTTTCAGTTATACATATACATATATAATGACTCATTAAGAACTTTAACTGAAAGGCAATGTTAATTTTTCCTAACAAATAGCGAACTAACTATTGTGACCCTTTCTAATATTTATATAAGAGTAGAAATACTTATCTAATTCTTATCAGTCATCATTATGATAATCAATTTCTGTCAAAACTTTCTTTTTTAAGATAGTGATATGAAAAAAAATTGTTTAAAACTGATGTTTAAATTGAGTAAAGGTAGAAGCCTGTTATTACGATTCATCCTGGTAGATCGATTTAACAACAAAAAAAGAACAATTAACTGATAAGTTGAGTCAGTTGTTACGTCATCAAACAAACAAAAAAACTTGAGTGAGTTGTTTACATTTAGATATAAGTTAATTGATAATCTGTTCCATTCTTATTGTGTTCACTTTTACACGTAATTCATTTGTGTATTTAGATATTACATAATAATTTATTCTGGGTATTTTATCTGAACAAGTGGAACCTACCATTTATCTGTCTTAATTTTATTCAGATATTTGATAGGTATAATTAACTCTGATTTATTTGACTTTACTCAATATATCTATCAGTAATTTTACACTTTATTTATGGAAAGTAAACTTTCTGAATGCCAATTCAGTCATGTACACACTAATATTATTTAAGTTATGTAAACACTATGATAAATATTCGACCGGTAAGAGTAGAGGATATCCGTAGGTTACTAGTATTCAATCATAGGTGTCTTCGAAACATTGCTCGTATATCCTGGGACCATCGAGTAAGTAACACAGTTGTTGGGAAACGGGTACTAGGTAAGAATGGCAAATCTATTGATGAAGTGGTGAGACTTCATCAGTTGAGATGGCTGGGACACGTGTTACATATGCCCAACGACCGACTGCCTCGACGTGCGATGTTCAGTGGTATAGGAGTAGATTGGAAGAAAGCTAGAGGCGGCCAGACCAAAACATGGCACAAGTTCATGAAGTCACTGACAAGTGTACTGAGTCATGTTGGTAGGTATAGACTACCTGGTTGGGGGCTACGAGATGATAGGAACCGATGGTTAGAGACCCTGAATTACATACCTCAAAATCGTTTGCAATGGCGCAAGTGCATCCACTCTTTATCTTTTCCCAAATTCTAATCTTCTGAATTCTTCATGTCTCTTCTTTTCCTCTTCCTAAATTTATTTCACTATATTATACTCCTTGAATAACATCTTCACACCCTAATCTTTCCGATTATTGCTTATATTCTTACTACCTCTACCACTACGGGATTTGAATGGACAACTGCATCTCTGTGCTAATGTGGTATGGCAACTCGAATCAATGTACGTACGTACGAAGTTCTACGTTGTTACTGACTGAAATATTCGACCTCAGGATAAATACAAAAATCCTTTTTTCATTTCGAAAAACAAATGAGTTTTGAATAAACAGTCAAATCAAGGAAATACAGTGTACTAAAATGAAGTGTTTTTTAGGGAATATTAGTGATGAACAATTGTCATATATAGTCATATCATCGACATGTGATTTTTGAGTTATCTTCATTAGCATAACATGGAACATAAAGCATGCTAAGTATGTTACAAAGTAGAAGGGCTGAAAATCCTACAGAGGGAAGCTCCCAAAAGCATTTCTCATGAATGACATCATTTTGAAAGCATGCCTATAAAAATTAATTTACATTGGGAGTTCGACAGATATGAATTGACATTTAAGCTAGCAACCATCTTTAATCACAGTGACAAGTACTTAATATTGTTAACTACAAAATTACTTTACTTCCTCATTTCTCGTTACATATCCCTATCATACCTTTGATTCAAATCACCTGTCGTACGTGATAAACACCAGTTCTCTCCCTTCTTGTATGTCAGTCTGGTGTTTCGGTAGATACTTTTAACCAAAAGTGCAAGTTATCTATGGTTAATTATTTGACAAACATGCCACTATCATTAACAGTGACTATCCTTAATGATAGTTCATTGTATCATATTAAAAAATCGAAGAACATACAATCCAACAAATGAATTCGAATCTGAAACATTGAAGTGATGAGTAGCTGAAAAGTTTACCTTTTCCATTTGTTCCTTCATACTCCACCATAGCTTTTCTATATCCATGTTGGTGTAAAGATGAATTCATATTGACTGTTCTGCTTAAAGTCATATTTTCAGTCAAATACATCTTATTCATTTCATTTTCTTCCAAAGAATAATTGGATTCAGCAGAATTATGTAAAGAATTATCAATATCTTCATTAACATTATCATTATCATCATATTCTTTACCAACACCGAGTAATGGTGAGTGAAATGTTGTTGCAAAAACTTCAGAGTTCGATGAAGGTGAACTGTTTTGTACTGTTCCATTTTGTTCATGATTACAATTGGACAGATGACTTCTAGAATCGACTGCTGAGAAATTTTTTATATTACTTAATTCTATTTCCGGCCTGACGTAATGATCTGATTTTCCAGTGGAATTATTTCCATACTTATTATATAGTGAATATGGTGGACAGGGAGACTGATAGGTGTCAATAAAACAATTTGATACGGGATTGTAACGAACTGGCTCGTTTTCAGTGTTTAGTAACTCATTAGAATGAAGGTGATATCTTTGATTTTCATAGTTACCAACAGGATAACCATTAGAATTCATGGTTTTACTGTCATTGAAATGAGCTAAAGTCCTTAAATCCGATTTAAAATGTGGTATTGCCATTTTGCTTTGAATATTGTAAGAATTTTCATTCTCACAAATAGTCCTTTCATTGTTTTGTTGAATATATTGGTCTGAATAATTTTGTAATTGGAGTAAAGAATTTGATGTCATCTTATTAAATACAGAATGGGATACAGGAGGTGATGTTGACAAAGATGAAGATGGTGTTGCAGATGATGAAGTGGAAGGAGAACAACAATCAGATTTATTGATTGGTCTTTTATAGTCAGTTAAATATCCCGAAGATGTTTTACTTGAAGTAGATAATTCATGTGATAGAAGAGCGAGAATAATTTTTGGGTTGAATTAATGTTTGGATTAATGTTTAAAACTATTACTTCACTTGAATAAGATCAAACCTTTAAGAAAAAATGTCAGAAATAAAACAGGATATAAATAGTGCACAGAAACCTGACAGTATTGGGTAGTTTTGATAATAATAATAATAATAATAATAATACAGTTTGGATGAAGGGATTTTGCCAAAGTCTAAGATATGTAAGAATATACAAGAAAATACAGGATATTATGGGTTGGATAAAACTATCAGTACATGGAAGATTAAGTGTTTTGGAGAATGAATAGTTTGAATGGATGAAAACAGCTTATTTTGTGTAAACTATTGTTTTATACTTACATCTTACGTAAAAAGTATGCTTTATAGCACTTATTTTTCAATAAATTCAGCTTGTAGAATAACATTTTATGATGTGTAGCATTCTTTCAAAATGAAAATAAATGAAATTATTGAGAAGTTAAAATGCTGTAATATTTAGTTAACAGGGATTTAATAGACTTTTTTTATTGAGATTATGAATCGAACAATTTTAGAAATCGTGACCAGTGGAGCTAATCCATATCGGGTAAAGTCAGGCATCTACTTCAGACAATAGAAGATAGTCATGCAACTTCGTGGATTGGTTGAAGTTGGACGTCAACATCGTTGGATGCTGGCTGAGCGGTTTGGAGGTAAAGTGTTCGAGCGGGATATCGAAGGCTCTATGTTCAAGTCCCGCTTCTTCCAGGTTTTCCATGATGGTGTAGCTCTAATTGACTCATGAATTGAACTATTAAATTACTAAAATCTCTACAAATCTCTAAAACTGACAAAAATTTCTTTGTACACTTAATGACTATAAATCTGTAGAAATAACCCAGGTTCCTTGTATGGAACCAGGTGTATGTAATGTCAGATTTTAACCACACGGATTAGAGCAAATGAATTTTCAGTTGAGGAATCCCTTACTCATAATCGATTAGAATTTTTCACTGTTTTCCAAACAGAATATATAAAACCACAACAATAAAATGAAACCCTTTTAAGTACTTTCAGTTTCAATGTACTAAACTACTTTGAGAAAAAAAATGCCAAAGATTAAACTTTATAAAATAATTATTGATCATCACAGAAGGACTAATTTTGTGTTATCCAACCTGTAACGTTAACCACTTTCTATGGATTAATTAAACAATAGAAAAAAAACAACTCAATAAGTCAACATTGAGTTGAACATGTTTCACTTTTCAGGATTAGAATTGATCAACAAAGGCTTTTAATTTCTTGGCGCTAATGATTATTATTACTCATCTATATGAGTTATCTGTAAACTTCAAGAGATTTAGAATAAACTAAATATTGATAAACTTGATTTATTTAAAGTAAACTCTTGAATAGCTCAATAGTAACATTTTGAATAATAGGCCGGAATTTTGCATCAGTTTGTTTGAAGGGATAGATTTGACTTTTTTTATAATGGATACTGGTTGAAACAAAAAGCGGAACTGTTTGATTTCATATTAACTTTCTCTGAGAATGTTTTTTTATCTTAAAAAATCGTTTCTAGTAGTTGACATTATTTCCACTGCTAGCCACTATCCATCATTGCTTACAAAAAGCTGGTGAATTAAGGCAATATCGATGCATAGGCACAGTATGCACATATACCGATAACAGACTGATCAATTGCAATCTTAAACCTTAATGGGAAGATACAAGCCAAATAATACTAAGTGAATTTAAATTCACCCGATTGCACAAGCAAGTGACTATCAGGACTCAGTAGCTAAGTGGATTACGCGATGGCGTTTGAGGCGAGTGGTGCTGAGTTCGAGTCCCAGAGTAAACATCCAGCTGACGAGTTCCAAATAAGACGAAACGCTCATCCTGGATTCCACTGCTAGCCACTGTCCATCATTGCTTCATCACTTAATAGTTATGAATTTATTTTCATGATAACTTTGACAATAAACAAACCTACAAACTACCTATACACAATACATAGAATCTATTAAATTTGATTGATTGAAATCTTTTTCATTTAAGTGATTATGTCAATCAAGTAAATAACACTTATACTGTGATAAAAATTAAATGAGATGCATTCAAGTTATTGTAAGATATCCTTTCTCTCTTTTTTTCTTCTTTATCATAACATTTGGACTGCCATATGAATTTCATTTCTTGGAAATATTTTTGACATATTAAAAGGAAGGAATCTTTAATGGTTTCTGGTATAGGCAAATGTTTATAGTTCTTTATCAATAAATAATAATAATAATAAAAGTCAAACTGACAAAAAGAAGTGTTACTGATGAATTTGAAGACCGTGTTTTATGATATATTGACATTTATCAAGTAACTAATAGAAACCAATCCATTTTGATCAGTACCATTCAATCATTTATTGTTTACAACCTTTAACTGGAATAATTCAGATTGTTGTTCTAAGCTTTAATAATAAAAAAATTTCTAATCATCATATACTATAATAGTTTAGTGGTAAAACACTGTTCGCACAAATGAAATAATCCAATGAACCTATTACATAAAATTAATTGGTTTCATTTACAGTTGTTACATTTATGTAACCATATGGAAATTCAACTTTTGTTTACTGAAAATAAGAAAAATTAACTAACATCATAATGGACCTAATGAAATACAGTATGACATAATGTTTTAAATCTTAACAATAATGACTAAAAGATTATTGAATAGAACTAACCAAAGTAATAGTATTCTATTTGTCCTGCAAGTGCTATGGTGTTCAATGTGGAGAAGAGTGAAAAATGTTTTCCATATACATTTCTGGATTAAACTTTTGTCTTTAATTCTGCTTCACAGTTACTATCAATAAATAAGTTTGACAGCGTTAATAGAGAGAGCTAAATAACCAACTAGCTGCGTTCTTACTTCTCTTGAAGAGAACAGAATACTAAGCTTGAAGGAAGATATTATACGTCTTTATTAACTTCAGATGATGTTCTACAAGGTATTCTTTACCGTAACTTTATCTGAATAATTTGCTACCACTGAGTATAATCCAATTCCTACCTCCTTATATGTGCTGGAAATGAATGAGTTTTTGGCGTTCATTGGATAATGGTGTATTTTTAATTGTCTTACACTTAATCATATTAAATGTCAAATTGTTAACTTTAGCCTGAGACATAAGAAGCATTTTAACACCCTGCCATAATTACATTAAGTTTATACAATGGAGATTCTGTGGTAGGAACTATTCTCAATGTTATTTACCTTGGTGCAAGTTTTTCCTGTAATCTCTCTTAGTCTTCTCCTGTTCTGCTAATATCGAAAAAAGTTGTTCGTCTGACATTTTATCAAAAGATTACATGTTTTCATCACTTTCATGATTTGTAACTTATTATATACTACCTGTTATCTTTTACTGTTCTCCTTTATTCATTCCTAGTCTCTTCAGAAAAAAAACGTTTTAATCATGTTTCAGAGAGTGCTAAAGGGAGTTAAAAGGATATGTGATGAATCTTTCAATGTATTGACGAATATAGTTGTGGATGGACATTCACAAACTATTAACATTCACTTCACATATTTCCGATTGTATATCTTACATTGTAAAGAGATGCAGTTACAATGGAATCTATATATTTACACAAAATTACAAAACTCTATTGTTCTGTATCTAACAAACCAATTTTATAGTGAACACGTTGTAAAAGCTGACTTAATCAAAAGCTTATATTCTTAAATTTGATACTAATTCACAAACTATGGATTCTTATTTTCTTATAAATATTTCACATAACTATATAATTTATAAATTTCATTCACATAAATATGTATGTAGATATATGTCTTGGTGATATAAGCATAGTAAGATAAACTTATAGAAATATTGTATCCAGAGCATTTCATAATACACCAAATATGGAATATTGAATAAAGTCATTAGTATGATTATTATTATTTATTAAACCAGATACCTGTTAGAAAACCCAAAAGTTTGGATTACGAACATGATAGTGAAAAAAATGTAGAAAATATCAGAAAATAAATTCATTGGTAATAAATATTCTTTTATAGATACACATTGATGTGACCCATAGCCTAAGTTTATCCTTAACACATCCAAGAATGGTAGGCCGGCTTGAGAAAACGCAGCTAAGCTCCGATTCGTTTTCTCAAGCCGGCCTACCATTCTTGGATGTGTTAAGGATAAACTAACTATTTGGGTCACATCAATGTGTATCTATCAATTTACTTGCTAAAGGAGATACGGCTGCTGAAATATTAAATAGACGGATTTCCAAATCGTCAAATATTCTTTTATTATATCCCAATGATCAGAAAAAAAAGTATTTCCAACGTTTCGTAACTTAATATAAGCTACTTCTTCAGAGTAAATAAATAATTGACACTAAATTAAAACAAGTTTAAATAGTACTCAGTGCTCAGTTTATTTGAAACCATCAAGTGCAACCTTGATATTCATATTTATAAATTCATTGGTCTTAAGGAACTAAAATTCTGACTTAAAATCCTACAGGTTTTTTTCATGTTAGCTTTATATAGAGACAAAACTAAATACTACTAAGAAATCTGAGGAAGATAAATTTCCTGTTCACGAATAGCATTTAGTCAATGATTGTCGTGGTTGAAGTTAAACTGACTTAATTCAATTCTGTGAATTTATCTCAGACTCACGATACATTTTTATTTCTATGAACAATCAAACCAACTTAAACAAAGTGAACTAAGCAACTAATACAAAAAATCGTTAAAATTGCAATTGTCTTTTTCATCCATTAAAAATTGGTAGGAACAATATATTAACATCCTATCATTTGTT